AAAAAAAAAAAAAAAAAAAACAGGGATTATTTAGCAACCTGTGTCTGTTTTCTAGAGCCCATAAATATGTGGGTGAACTGAAAATATATGAAGTTAAATAAATAAATAAATAAATGAAATAAGACAAAAATACTACAAACAAAAATTTTGTGATAAGGATATAAAAAGTTAAATGAGTAAATTATTGATAACAGAAATAAACTTCAGGAAAAAATTTAAAAAAGAAAATTTAATTTTAATATAACAAAAAAAAAAAAAGAAGAAGAAAACAATACTTGAATGCTTTTCATATCAAAATAATCAATAAACTGATCAAATCATCAAGACCAATTTATGATAACTTTCAGATAAATCTGAGTAATTTTTTCACATCACATTCACAATACCTCCATCTTTCCTCTTTTTTTACCTGACTGAACCACTTTTGACTGTCACAAATTGAATCATCACTAGGATTAGATACTGGCTGCCGTGACATCCCCATGTGACATCTACATTACAGCATCATTCATAAACAACGACTTGTCTTCATTATAGTGTATCAAGTGTATTAAGTGCAGTTGAAGTAACATTTCAGAAGACCTTTACCTAGAACTGTTCAGCTTGATTGATCCATACTGGCCCAAAGTCCTTCAGTTTATCATGGAAATCACCTCAATATGTGTACTCCCATAAGAAAAACAGGTTCTACAACATTTCACTGATGTCACGGTACCAGAGTTGCCAGCTCAGCAGCGTTCCACCTGAGTCGGAGGTGCTGAACTGTATAGAGGTTGTAAACAAGCACGGTGACATGATGACCAAGTAGCCATTATGTATCTCCGAAAAAAACAAGCAGTCATATCCCCCCTTCCTCAGTGCATTCTATACCTTCTTCTACCAGGAAATCATCCAGTCTACTAAGTTTTGCATTTTTTTTTTTTTTTTTGTTTTTGTTTTTCTCCTTCAAAAAATCTGGTCTCTATCACAAGCGATAATTTCTAAAATCTACTCTATCTCTCCATTATTTCCTTTAGAAGCAGACTCACTCGCCAAGTGCACTACAATAACTTAATTTCTGACGAGTTCAGCGTCCTCAAGTGACCTCAGATGTCCAGGTGATCTAAACGGAGTTTAGAATTTTTGCCTCAGGGTCTCGACGGTTATTTATTATTTATCAACTTTGAGCCACATCAAAAAACTGCTACCAATACACAATAAAAACTCAATCTTTTCTGGGGACATTGTGAATTTTACATATACTGACGTACTTTTTAAATTCATGAATTGTTATAATTAGAAAATTCCTTTTGTGAGGAAGCATCAAAATATAAAAGCAGGCTACCTTACTGTACTCTAAATGCTGCACTCTACCTTACTGCACTCTATATACAACTCAAATATCATACACTGTCAGAAATATATTTTTAATGATTCCTTCAAAATTATGCATTACAAGAAGATTGGTAATTTTCCCCATTGAAAACATGTTATCACTACCACATACCAAAACAATTAATGATAACCCAATATCCATTTATTCCTTTACAACTGAAAAAAAAGTTTGCACTTATCAATAAACTATGCCCTGTATAAGGCCCCTATCTGACACATCTCCACAAAGTCACCAATTCAGTATTTACAGAAAAATGATGGTGATGCATATGATAATGTAACCCCTATCTCATAACATGATGTGTACTTAAGTAAACTATATTTGTCACGGAGAGGAGATAAGAATGAGAGAAGCTGTATAATGACTGGGGGAAGGAAATCACTTGGGAATGCATGTCAAAATCCACATGCTCTGTCTGACTAAAATGCAAAAATGAATGAATAAAGAAATAAAACAAATAAAAATATTAAACAAAAAATAATGCAAAAATAAATGCAAAAATCTCTCTCTCTCTCTCTCTCTCTCTCTCTCTCTCTATATATATATATATATATATATATAAAACAATCTATTCCCCATCAGCCAAAGACCAGGGCACTCACTTGTATCAACGAAAATCTTCAGCCAGATATGTTCTGAGCCTCAAATATTCTCCGTGAAAGACAATTTACATGACCTCAACAGCAACCTAACGTAACAGGTACCGCCATGGGGGTTTGAAGGACCCTATCATATCCAGGGATACACTAAACTGGACCGGTACACTTTGGCAGGTGCTATCTACTAATTACACTACAAGTTAATTAACAGACGTGTTGAANCAGGGATTATTTAGCA